GTGTGTGTGTGTTTGTGGGGGGGGGTTCCAGGGGTCTCTAGGCCCCCCCGTTACCCTCTCCCCTTCTCTACCCCCAGGGGTGACCGAGGCCGCGGCCGCGGCGGCCGCTTCGGCTCCAGGGAAGTGCCGGGAACGCTCGGGATGGTGGGGAAGGAGGGAGGGATGGGGGATGGATGGGAGGGATGGGGGTCCCACGTGTCGTGACAGGGTGGGTTTGTGGGGGGGAGGGGGAAAGCCCCACCCAGAGAGTGAAGTGGGGTCTGGATTCCCCTTCAGGTTCCGGCCCTTCGTGCCCCACATCCCCTTCGACTTTTATGTGGTGAGTAATTCCCGGCCCGAGGGATCCAGGGGGGGGTTTCTGGGAATTTCCAAGGGGGTTTCCAGCTTGAACGACCCCTCCCCATCCCTGTTTTTGGGGGTTTGGCTTCTTGGGGTACAGCTGAAGTGAGAGAATCCCCTAAAAATGTTGGTTAAAAAAAAAAACCCTAAATGGAGAATTTGGTTCCTGTTTTGGAACGGGATAACGGGAGGGAATTGAGGGATAACCCCACAAATCCTTCCAGGATCGTTTTTATTCAGATTATACCAGAACAACCCCCGGATTGAGGTTTGTGTCCCCCCCCTTCTCCAGCCTGTCCCAATACCTGTCACCTCCTCTGGGTCCCACGGCAACTCCTGCTTCCCACCTTTTCCCAGGAAGAAATCCTTCCCCTCATCCTGCAGGGATGTGATCCCAAGGCCTGGTGGCTGCAGATTTAATGGGTTAATTTATTAAATCAATTAACAGAGTTCATAAAAACCCTCTGGAGCTGCAGGGGGGGGAGCTCCTGGACACTCCAGAATCTCCAGTGGGATCGTTTGAACAGGGAATTGTGCTGGGAATTAAGATCCCGATGGGAATTCCGTCCCTTTCCAGTGTGAGATGGCTTTTCCTCGTGTCAAACCTGCAGCTGATGAGACGGCCTTCAGCGAGGCCCTGCTCAAGAGGAACCAGGACCTGGCTCCCACCGCTGCAGAGCAGGTGCCCAAAATTCCCTCAGATCCTTGGGATGGGCGTGGGAGAAGCCAAAGTCCTTCAGGGTCTCACAGGAGCACCCCAAAAACAAATTAATCATCAGGAATGAGCACCCAGAAGGAGCTCCTTGGGTGATTTTGGGCTCTGCAAGTGGGATTGTTGGGAGGTTTCCCTGGATAATCCTGGATAATCCCTCCACGCTCCTTCCCAGGCTTCCATCCTGTCCCTGGTGACCAAGATCAACAACGTCATCGACAACTTAATCGTGGCACCCGGGACCTTCGAGGTGGTGAGTCCCAAAAAACTGGGAAAGGAGATCCCTGGGGAGAGGATGGACTGGTGGGATTGGGAAAGGAGCTCCAGGAGGAGAGGATGGATTGGTGGGATTGGGAAAGGAGCTCCTGGTGGGATTGGGAAAGGAGCTCCAGGGGGAGAGGATGGATTGGTGGGATTGGGAAAG